ATTTTGCAAACCAAAAATAATATCCTCAGAATGCAAAGAAAAATAGCTGAAAGTAAAAGAAATCAATATAAACAGTATTTTATTCGCTTTGTGTCCAAAGTGGACAAAATTAATACTCCAAATGCATGCCAAGGCTTAAAGCAGCAACAACGCTACACATGTAAGTAAAAATATTTAAGTATCTGAACGAAGAATTCTAGTCTCTTCCCAAATTTGATTGTCCTGACTAATCACCTGTTAGGCCTAATTAATTTTAGAATGTTTTAAAGTATTGCAATTGTGATGTATTTTAATGTGTGATATGATGAGGCTGTTGACGAACTGTGGTTGTTTTTTAAATTAATGAATTTTTTTTTAACTGTTCTGTTATTTTAGAAAAACTGATGATGGTGGAAAAATACATCGAAACGTATTTTAATTGATAATAGAGACAATAAATGACTGAAACCCAGGAATCAATTTTGATTTGGAACTAAAAACTAAACTTTGTTCTTAAAGTTTTAAGTTTGATTTGGAATTGAAACACAGTCAGGAAAGTATATACAATTTAGTTTTTAGTTAAAACCAAATTTTCTTCTCAAAATAACTCAAGAGAAACTTTCGTGAGCATCAGCTTGTTGCTAGAAACACACTTGTATAACACCTGGCAACAGATGAGCAGAACATACTACAGATTTTGAACTTTTAACACCCAAAATCTGCTGTTTATGAAACAGTAGGATGGTCGAAAAAGCGGTAGAATTCCCACTGGCCAAAAAAAAAATAAAAACAGCGCTTTTTATCCAACATCCGACAGTCTAGTGAAAAAATGTTAACAAATTAAATCATAAGAGTAGTTAGACGTAAAAATTGGACGATATATTATCACAGATCATTAAATCCCAAAGGGACTTAGTCGTAGTCAAACAATTCCTCTTTCTTCATGCTGCTAGCAAAGGAATTCGGATCATTAACCAGTTTTTCCCACAACTTGTAGTACTGCTCACTACTTATGTTGTATTCGTAAACGTTCTGCGATCTAAGGAAATCCTTCCACACCTAAAACCATCCAACTCCTCAGTAAAACCGTTTTAAAACCATCTTGAGCCTTGTCACCTTGTCCTCTGATTCGGAATCTTTAAAAGGCCGATTTCCGCATTGCCCAGATTTGAAAATTTGCAGCTTGTAAAAGAGATACTGGAACGTATACATTCTGCTGCCCTCAATTGCCTATACACACGGCACCTGTACTTGTAATAAATAAAGGGGGCATGAAACCCACCTGAAAAGCTATGGATCGTCTGCTGCAGCATTTCACGGGAAAAACGCTGGTTTTATAGTAGCTTTCGCCTGGGAAGAATACATGGTACCAAGTGTAGGGGTGAAAAGTGGACAAACCCTCCTCATCTACTGTACTAACTGGAGTTATGTTCAGTTGTGATAAGGCTTTTCCTGTTCAAGTCAGAATTCAAGTGTTTAATCACGGGTTAATTTTTAAAGAATTCGGAGCCTTTAAAATTGAACACAACTTGTTGAAATTTAAAAAACCAGAAAAAAGGAGTGTCATGAAGTATAAAAGACGCTTTTTCGCCCATTAGCCATGAGTCAAAATCAAATTTAAAACTAAAAAAAACACTGTTCTTTCTGCCGTTTAACTCACCCAAGTAAAAATCCTCCTTGTTCCTGTAACTATTCTCAATACACTCGTTTGACCGCATGCTCCCTTGGAACGCCCTTAAAGCCCCCTTACTAAGCGCATACCCTGGGTTCCCACTGTTGTAAACTGTGCCCCAAAACTGCACTGCATGACCCAAATAATGATATTTTTCCGAGTCCAAGGGGGCTACGTAGTGTCTGAAGTTTTCCAAAATCAGAAAACTCGTATCTTTGACTACGAGCACCCAATCAAATGGCTCTGGATCAGTCTCGTGCAGCATTTTGCACAACAGTACCCAAGATGACAAGGCTTTGTCCTGCTTTGAGGGCATAATACTGGTTCTGGATGGCAGCAGGATTGGTTTTAAGCTGTTGCAACCTCTGGCCCAAGTAGCGTTTACCGCTACCAGATTATTCGGGGATCGAACCAGGACTATGCACAGGATTCTGATGTTGTCAAACAAATAGTCTGCTTCAGTATACAGGGATTTGTTCGTATAACGCATTTCATCCCAGAGCACCACGGTTCTGTTAAGGCCACGCTTCTGGAACCAATCCACATAGGGCTCTAGAGGGGGCTTTTCTTGCAAGGGGCTGTTTCCATCACTCAACGTCCAATTGCTTACGTACAAGGCCAGAATGGCCCCCAACACTAAACCGATCGCAAAGCTTGCCCTGCTGTAAAAATGTACCATTTTATACGGCTGTTTTTGCAATAACATAAAAATGTAAACAACAACAAAATAGGGAGGTTATGTTCAACTGGCATTTGCCAGCGTTGAAACAAGCTGCGAGTTACGGATTGGTTGACGGAAAATGGCTGTTAAAATGTTTTATAGACATAGTTTATTTATTTATAATAGATAGTTTATTTTAAAAATGACGCTCTGGATAAATAACCCTTCAATTCACTTTAGTCAATATAATCGCGTGGCTTTCAGCTTTTCTAGAATCGATTTTTAATCCATCTTATGCCCGCCTTGACCCCGAACCTAACTTATCTTTAGCGCTAAAGTAACGTACGTCGACTCTAGCTGAATTTCAAGTTCCAAGTACTACAAGTCGAGCAGTTGCCATGTTTGACGTTTTTTACTTATTGCCGGTATTTTAAAGGGGTGGAATTTTTGATGTACTGGGTGTCCCCAAAAAAGTGGCACAAAGTAAAATGGTAAATTTTGCCAGTAAAAATATGATGATTGAACCCAACTTACGCTGGTAAAAGTGATGACGGTAGTCAAAATAGAGGGTAAAGAGGGGTTTAAAGTTCAAAAAATATTTAGTACAATCTGATTTGGAGTCATTTTTGAGTATAAAACATTTAGACCTGACGGAAGATTTTAGGAATGTCACACTTTTAAAACAGTCCAGCTAAAATGTCAATTCTCCTGTTAAATTTACCTTAAAAATTTATTTTTGGTCTCAATAGATTCTCGCGTTTTTTGAAAATTTTGCAAGTAAGCATTAAAGCACTGATGGTCATTTAGCTGCGAGAATTAAAGTCATTTAAAGCAACATAGAATTGCGTTTTGTGGTGAATTTAATGATCACAGCTCAATTTCAATAAGTGTAAAAATTTTCCAAATCAAACTAAGTATTCAACAAAAAAGTCACTTTTAAAATTATAATTTAGTATTGAAAAAGTAGCATAACGTAATCATTTAAAATTTTAAAAAATATGTGGCCCAGGTGCTATTTGCAGTCATGAAATTTTCCATTTTTTCCAGCTCAGGAAATTAAAATTTCCATCAGTTTGACTATAAGGAGTTTGAAGCGATAAGAACTTTTATGCTCGATAAAATACCAATTTTTTTGTTTAGGTTTTTAGTTCAGTGTAGGTCCAGAAATCAACTTTTCAAGACAGCCGTTGCTAAAAACAACAAAGAATTTTTTTTTAAAATTCGTAAAATTTTTGTCAAAATTGTTCAAATTTGGCAGTGGTATTTATAATAGTAAATATATATATGGCGCAAAATTGATAACACTGTGTTGAGCTTTGGAGTTGTTGCCGCTCTCCGAGTTAATTACTTTTAACTTAATGGTTAATGAGTTATAATTCATTGCCGATCACGGAATTTTAACATCTAACAAAAAAAAGCCATCAACATACTTTTGCGTATACGATTGATTGACACTTCTTGGTCTAAAACGCGGAAAAATCTGGAAATTTTGAAGAAACTAAAAAATTTCAGAGCGATGAGGGTGGCGAGTCTCTGATTGTTTTTTGAGGAAATTAAAATTTTGTCAAAAAAAAAACAAGATAATTCTGTTTCGATTTTGTCTCAAATTCGAAGGTAAATGGGTATTCGAAAAAGACGATAAAGAAGTCCAAACTGTAAACACGATGTCTTCTTGTAAAATCCATCTTTAAACTTTTTTGCATAAAAGACTCAGTTTGCCAGTATTTTACAGTAAAACGGTACGAAAAAAACGCGTTGTTCTGTTTAGAGAGATTTTTGTTTAGAAATAGTGACGTTAAAGTGAAGAAACCGAAATTTAAATAAATAAAATTATTCACAGCAACAAAAGTGACTAGTTTTCCGAATAATTGATTATAAATTTTCACTTGTTCTGTTCGGGAAAATATTTTATATATAGAAAAAATCTAAAAAAAAATTGTTAGGGTTTTGTCCAAAATTCGAAGCTTCAAAAGGTTCCAGAAAAAAATTTACAACGCTATTCAGAAGCCGAGTGTTTCAATAAAATTAAATTTATAATTTTCAGAGAAAATACCTGAAAATTGTCAATATTTCAAGTAAAACTAAAAATAATACGTTTTCGGCGTAGCAATAATTGCTGAATAGAAACTTTGCTAAAACTGGAATGACCTGAAATGTTAAAGAAACTTGAAAAATCTTCAGAGCGATGAGGGTGGCGAATTTTCCAAATAATTTTTTGGAAACTTTTGCTTTCTGGCCGTTTTATCAAGATAATCTTTTTTAGTTCTGTGATCGGTTATTGCGAAAACCTTAATGGTTTCCGGCAAAATATGGGATACATTTACTTTCGTTTTTGTTCCGAAAAACTTCCTACAAAGCTATAAATATACAATCTTGTAATTTTTCGCGTAAAAGACATCCAGATCGACAGTATTTTTAAGTAAAACTCTACAAAATAGAACGTTTTTGAGTCAAAAACAAAGTAAAAAAATTCAGTCAAAATTAAAAAAACACATTTTTTTAACAAACTCGACAGTCGTCAGAGGAATGGAAGTGATGAGTTTTCAAATAATTTATTATAAACTTCGCTTATTCAGTTGCAAATGAACATAAAACTAATACATAACTATTATTTAACACTCCAATATACAACTGAAAAAAAACAATTTTCAGACAAATTCTCACCTGAACTTACCATTTGAAGATTCCTTGCCAAAATCGCCTTTTAAAGTTTGGCTACACACTTAAATAACACTCTGTATAAATCCATTTGTAAATTATGAAAAAACAAACAAAAACAAATCTTCAGATATAAACGTGACAACTGTGTAGGACCTTCAACTGGTCAAATTCCGGTCGTGTTACCCTACCTGTGCGATAGAGGGCCAACATTCCAATCATAGTTGACATTTGAAATGCGGAACAGTGGTGGGGGAAAACTCGTTTAAACTTTTTCAGTTTCCAAACAACTAAACAAACGGAAACCGTGTTTGGTTGTCGCCGTCTGTTGATTTCGAAAAGTGGCCGAAAAACGTTGAAACAACTGTACGTTTCAGTGATAACGAATTGCCGGCGGAACGGCCTAAATAGTAAACAGTAGTTTGCAGGTGGTTTTAGTGCGTTTTACCTGCAGGATGGCGTCATCCAGCCACTATAAGAAGTAGTTGTTTTTTTTTCGAAAATGAAGGTAACTGTGTGTTTTGGAAATGTGCGAGTGGTGGTGCCGTGTGGTGATGGCGATATTCTAGTAAGGGATCTTATCAGGGAAGCTACCCTACGATACAAAAAAGCTACGGGCAAGGTAAGTTTTGTTTGTATTTACCATTAGTAAGGTTAGATTTATTGGTTACCTGACAGGTAAGATGGGACAGCAGCGTCCATGGTAGGCTTTTAAAACCCCACTCATGGGCTTTAAACATGAATCAGATCAATTAAATCATGATATTTGGCCTTTAAATTTGCTTTATCGCAACCTACTTGGGATGCAATTTATAGTCAGTTTTGCCACCTTCAGAATGTCTCAAGAAATCACTAAGTTCATGTATGATACCTACCTACAGTTTATTCACCTTGCTTCTGCTCTTGATGTCTTGGAATTTCAAAAAGTAGGTGCATTTTTTAGCCTCTGGCTGCCTAGGCGCCAGACTATTCAATTATCGACTAATGCTGATAGTGTTTAATCAAGAAATCGGTTACTTACTACTCGAGATTATTTAATAGTCCTTTTCAAACAAACTAAGAAGGGGCCACTAAAAATACTTATTAAATAAAACATGTTGAAATTCAGTAACTTTAACACGTAAATTCATAGCTTCTCTGAAGCCTAAGTCAAGTGTATATCAATGTTTACACCAGAATCCCCCAAACATCAAATAGGTATACAAAAAAAATTTAATAAAATCATAATTTTTTATTACGGTCACCAGCAATCTAAGTACAACACTATTTAAATATAATCTCTGATACGAAATACAAGTTGGGGTAGATTTTTTGAGTGTGCGAAAGTTTTCGACATTTATGGTCTTGGAAGTCTTGCTTAAATAAGGCGTAAAATTAAATATTAATAATGAAGTAAACACATTCAAATCAATATGATCTTAATAATGGTCACTTAGGTAATTAAAAATCTAAAGTTTTTGAAAATACGAACATCGAAATTGTTTCGTAATTCAAAATTATTAATGGAGACTTTCATGGACTAACAAAATCCAAAATAATTATTATTGTGAATTAATTTGTAAAAATGAATTAATTAACAACAACGAAAGCATAATTTGCTGATTCTGAGTCAGATGTTTCGTTAAAAAAATATTCAGTAGGTACTTACCGTAAAACTTATGAGATTCTATAGAAAAATATGCACCGACGGTTCGAATCTGCGTAGAGAAACTAAAAACGTATTAAGTAGGGAAAATTGTGTTAGAATTTCAAACCAATTGAATAATTAATGAAAACTTTTTCAGAATTAAAAGAAGAATATATAATATTTTCGCTGCCGCTATAGCCCGAACTTTATTTTCAAAATGTCTGTTCCAATTTCAGGAGAAATTGCAATAAAAAAAGCCCATTTTTTTATAATCAAACTTATGATGAGTCTAAAGCGAGTGCTGGGCGGCTTTATAAATTGAAAAACCGAAATGGGATTCGATAACTATCCATCACAGGCGAAAAATTATCAAGTGGCGAAAGAGCCGTTCAGCCCTAAGAACTATTTCAAAACAAAGTCTGGGAAATGCAGTTGATGCATCAAATCTATGATACAGACAAAAGTTTTTTGGAAATTACTCCCTCAAATGACGCTTTCTGATCAATAAATCAGCACCAAGTTGAAGAATGAGCAAAGAGCGAATTACAATTATGCTTTGTTCAAGAGCCTCGCTTTTCGGAAATGAACCGATGACTTACCAAAGAAAGCATGGGTCACCAAAAGTATATTTTTTTAATTATTTTACTCAGATTTTGTGGACATTTTGGAACAAGATGAACTACGCTCTAGCTCTGACCAAACGGAAGCAGAGGTAGGGCTTCCAATACCAATACCACCTAGATATATCTTAACGCTTACACCGTGCACACTGTTTATGAAGAAGGCTTTTGTCTTTAAATTAATGAAAAAAGTGTTCTATGTAGTTATAAGTAACTTGAGTGAAAAAACGACTGTATCCATAAACCCCATGTATAAATTATTTACTGATAGATATAGTCGTGCAATAAATAATATTAAATAGCAAATATATCTTTCATAATTTGCGCAAGTAATAATAGCACTCTTAATTATTAAGTCGACACTTTTATCTCAGCTGTAAAGATAATTCATTGTCATGTCGTGAAAGAGGAATTAATGGTTATTTTCACATCGGTCTAGTGGACTAACACCAACTTATCATTATAATCAGTATCCTAGAATTACGTTGCAAATTTACAGTAATTTGGAACAAGTGTGCAATCATTTAACGGCATTTTATTTAATTACAAATTTACTTAAATACTCGTTTAAATGGTAACACTGAAATCTGAAATTGACATTGTTTGAATACCCTTGATTTTTTATTAATCAATAATAAACATATTTCATAAAATACGGCATGTACGAAGCAGTTTTATCGGAGTTCTAGTTTGGTCAACTTTAAAAAAACCTCAGATGCAGCATTTGAGAAGAACAAATTTAATTTCAAATTCATAAACTTTAAATATTATTTCGTTTCCAAGATCAAATCGTCTTGCCTCTCACATAAACGTATGTACCACTAACGTGTATATGACCCCTTATGCCGACTATTCTTATAAAATAAGACGTAGTATCGTTTCTGCTAGGATCAGCATAATTTAATTATAAAAGAAGCCACAACAGAAAGGAGAATTTTAAAAACGAAACTTTCAAATTAATATGTTGTGGTTGATTAA